AATCCAAATAAATGTTCAAGATATCAGTGTTGCATAGAAGAAAACATAATCCCAAATAAAAAGATGTATTATAATTTCTAAATTCGAAGCAATTCGTTCATAAGTAATTTCACACTTGCAATTTAAATCATTATTACAAAATAGGTTGCAATAGGTATACAAACTGAAAAATTACAGCATTGAACGATCTCTTCTTTTATTAGCTTCAACATGAAACACTGTCTCAATCTCAAAGAGGATAAACATTCACAATCTTATCATTTTCGATATCATAATACGTTATGCTGCATACTTTGTAAAAATTTGAAAAAAAAAAAGCGTTGGATCACAAGGATATATGTAATTCTATTAATTCCTTACCGACGCGTCCGGCGGCCATTCCGCAGACACCAACCAGGAAGAACGTTCTATTTTGCCATCCGATAAAATCAGCAACGAAAGGTATTATCAATCTAGTGGCAACGTCCATGCTACCGAGAATCGACATTACCGTCGCCACTTGAATTTTCGAGAAACCGTACTCGCCTAATATGAACGGTGTCAACATGGCGAAATTCATTTCGCTGAAATTCGCAAACGTAATGCCCAACATCATATTCACGTAGACGTAATCACTGAGCAAATCTAAGTCGAAGAAAATTATCAACGTTTCCAGGAACGTTTTTTTCGTCGTCTCTTGAGCACATTCCTGAAATTAAGTTGCTAATTTTATCATTATTTTAATATCTTCTGCTACTTAAATTTGTGCAAATTTGTGCTTTTCAATGCAATTTCTGTCTTTTTTTAAACTTACTTCCCTCATCAGCTGATCGGTTTCGATTTCTTCGGATGCCACTAATTTTTCTTCTATTTTGTGATTGCAATTTGGATCTTTACAATGCTCGTAGTCGTCGGTATGTTCGCAGGATTCTTTAACGATGATCAGCGGGAGTATCGAAACTTTTCTTCGACTTTTGTCGGTTTCACTATTTTGTTTAAAAGTAATTGTGAATAATACTTAATAAGCGTATTAACAAAATTGTTAGTAAAATTGCAGAATTAAAATTTGCACTACTTATTTGCCATTTCATAACTGTGATTATTAGGCAAACTATACATTATTATCTTTAATCTATTAATTTTAAATATTAGGCGCAAAAATTACCTAATAGTGATTATTAAGCAAATTATACATTATTAGTTTTAATTTGTTATAATTAAGAAGAATTTAAAATTGCACTTTAGTTAAACACAAATTAAAAGTTCTGTATAAAAATATTGCCGTTTAATTATTATAATCATATAAAAACTTTTCTAATAACTTAATAACATTCTTAGATTTAAACAACAAATATTTACCTATTAAGATTTCTTACCGACGATTCTCTATTAAGACTAGATTGTCTACTCAAGTTTACCGACGATTTCCGGCTTAGATTCCTCGAAGAGCTTTCCTTCTTCGATGTTTTAGACGATATTGACGTAGTTGATGTATTTTTTCTAGAGAACCTATTCAACGTTTTTATCTTGTAAATTTGTAAAATAATTTCACAATCATGTAACAAAATTTTCTGCAACTACCATCCGTCGTTAGCTCGAGACATCATCGATGTTTCAGGACCAATTACATCTATACCGGAAGCGCCATCTTCTTTATCGTCGTAATACAAATACTGGCTTCCGAATTTATCTGTCACAAGACTTAAACTATTTCGCGTATCTCCGTCAATATTTTCTAATGACTGATATTTTTTGTCAATAATCTCTGCTGTTACCTAGAAAATGTATATTGGTACCATCATTTTTACATTAAGAGTACATTACGGTACTAAAAATATATAAAATTTATATACATTTCTTTTTTAATTATTTACGAATTTTAGTAATTGTCTAAAATTAATTTAATTTAATTAAAATCCACTTCTTTGAACGTGACAATATTATGCAAAAGTTAACACACAAGTTTGTATTTGTAAAATAATTATCGATGGAGTTCACACGCCATGTTGATAAATGATGTTTTTAACAAAGAAGTAGAATTGAACGGTTTCGTGTTTTATGCCAATATAGGGTTTTTATAATAATATTTTTTTGTTATCTATGTGAAATTATTTGTTATTATACTATACCTGATCGATTGTTTCTAATTCTTTGAATTCTATATTGTCGTTAGTGCACAATGTTTCTGTACCTTGCCTTCTTTTTACGTGCTCCGAGACAGGTTGTAATAGGAGAGCACATACAACTGCGTTAAATGTGAAACCACCGAAAATGAAGATGGTACCTTCCACGCCATATACAGGCATTAACAATGTAATTATCTGAAAATTGGTATAATTCTTATTTTTGTTTTAATATTTTGAAATAATAGTGAATGCAAAAGTAAATTTCCATGTTTCATATAAAAACTGATAGAGTCGAAATCACATTTATACTTATTTTTTTCAAAGATAATTTCGTGAGAAATCTGATTTTTTGAACACATTAGTATTTTTTTGCGAATGTTTTATTAACGAGGAATAAAAAGAAGTTTAATGCCTTGTGAGACTAGAATAGTCGCGTATTAAATATTCTCTCTTTGAACGAATTTTTCTTATCATTTATGACTTCTGATTAATGGAATAATTACGAATACGAGGGTCTAACAGAAAATTAGTTAACTGATATGCACAATATTTAAAAAATTTTAATAACTTGTGTGGTGTTAGGGATAATCGGTTCTCCTAATTGGTTCTTTATTACTTTATAAGTTGAAGTGTGCTTCGACATTTACAATGCACGCTTATTTCGAAATATTCTAGAATCCGTGCTGATTAGAAACTGTGACGTATCGGCAGTTTGCAATTTTTTTATATTAGAGATTCTTGTTGATCTATGCGACAAGACATTTTGATCGAAGATAAAAACATGGCGTTCGAAGATAGTGTTCCCTAGTTATACGTGAAAAGTAGAAAAATCTGTTCTTCTAGATTATAAAGATATGTATGTATACGTCGTTCAAAATGAGAGTAACCTCGCTCTCGGACCGATTCTCGTCTAGGTGGTTAAGTGGGGGTTTGGACGTTCTGGTGGTTCTAGCCTTGCCTTAGGCACGTCCCATGCGGCGAAACGAGGTTACTCGCATTTTGAACAGAGTATAGTAGTTTAGGAATTATTTCGTGGGATATTTATTTTCAAATCTCTCGCATTTTTAAATTAACAATACTCTAAAATAGTCGTTTTAATATCTCAGACAAAAATCCGCATCTCCTTGCGTTCTTTATTTTTTATAACTACAATTTGTAATAGAAAAATTGGAAAAAATTTCTTGACATGTGCCTTCGTATATACAATGTGCCAGATTTTTTTCAAAATTTTTGTATGCTACTAAATTTTTAATATTAAATTATTTTTAAAAAAATACATTATTATGTGATTTTTAGCGATATTTGTCATATTCACATTAACTATATTATACATTTCTTATGCGGCCCAAAACGATTCTTGTTCACTCAATATAGCCCAGGTAAGCCAAAAGGTTGGACACCCATGATTTAGATAATTCGTTAAAATTACCAAAATCATTAAGTAACACTATATGTTCTTTATTTATTGTCCAGTGAAAAACTATAATTTGTTAATTTTATATTTGAAATGTAATTACTTGCGGCATAACAATGGGTCCTATGCCTGTACAGGTCCAACTGAGGCCCGTGGCAATTCTTCTCTTCTTTTTGAAATAAGTATTTAGAGCTAGAGCATTTGAGGACATTGTAATTCCAGTTCCAGCACCTAAATTAGAAGCATGAACGTTAAATGCTTCCTGGCAATTTATTTTTACACTTTTCGTTTCAACGCAAATTAACAAGTAAACTAACAAACTTATAACATTTTCCTCACACTTCTTCCTAATTACGTTACATCGCTTTTAACTTACCGTACAAGATCGAGAAAAAGATTAAAACTCCAGGAAAACTTTTCATAACCGATAGTACTGTGATTGACACAGCGCAAATCGTGGCGCCTACCAAACCTATTTGCCTGTAACTGAATTTTCTAAACAGTGGACCATTAGCTAATCCTAAAATTTCAAAAAAATTGCGTCAATAATGTTCCAAAAAATCCTTTTGATTAATTTCATTACGACGTTAATAATAAAAATATAAAAAAACGAAATGAGTAGCGTTGAAAATAGCAACAAAATGTGATTAAGTAAAAATTATGGTTACGTCGTACGTAGACAGCAACATGGAACACGTAAATAAATAAAAACTATAGCTAATGCAACTTACGAATAAAATTGTCAGTTTATCAATTTATTACGCGCAGAAAAAAAAACATGTCTGACGTTTCTACTTTAAATCCATTTCACGATCTATGATTGCAGGGTAAATCCAGGTGAGATGCACCAACGGTAGAGATTAAAATAATTTTTTTACCTAATTTTCTGTAAATATTGCTTTGAAAATATTGGCCACCTTTTTTGAAACAGCTTAAAATTTTAAATATATTTTGTTATTTTTATGCACTAAATAATAGGTAGAGATTTAACTGTAATTCAATTTTCAATTAAAATAATTTTGTGTACCCAATTTTCTGTAAATATTGCCTTAAAGAAAATATTGGCCACCTTTTTTGAAACAGCCTAAAATTTTAAATATATTAATTTAATTTTGATGCACTAAATAATAGATAGAGATTTAACTGTAATTACATTTTAAACTAAAATAACTTTGTTTAGCCAATTTTCTGTAAATATTGTCTTAAAGAAAATATTGGCCACCTTTTTTGAAACAGCCTAAAATTTTAAATATATTAATTTAATTTTGATGCACTAAATAATAGATAGAGATTTAACTGTAATTAAATTTTAAACTAAAATAACTTTGTTTAGCCAATTTTCTGTAAATATTGTCTTAAAGAAAATATTGGCCACCTTTTTTGAAACAGCCTACAATTTTAAATATATTAACTTTATTTTGACGGACTAAGTAATACTAGTAACTATTTTTCATATTCATTGTATTACAGTACGACACCTGTTCCAGATTTACCCTAATCGCAAAATAGCAAGGAAAATCGTCACGTTTAATTAAATCCCAAACTCATTGAGCGATTACTATTGACATTATCAAATGATGACTATCGAATATGAGATAACAAAAAGTACAAAATTATTGAGGGAGTATTAAGATAAAACCGTATTTCCTTCTGTCGATACGTAGTATGTTATTTTGTTGGTTAAATAGATAATAGTCTTGTTCCATAACAGCGAACGACAAGGTGACCATTTGTGAAATGCGATAAATGAAATTGTGCAATTTTTGATAAAAAAAAAAAAAAAAAAAATAAAAAGCAGGAAGCAGAGAGTGGAACAGGTTTACCGATGCAAGAAGTCACCGCACAGTTTATATTCAATATAGTTGTTGTTTGTGATGCATTGATCCCGAGTTCAGCGAATCTATCTCGAAATATTAACCCAAAAGATTGCAGCATTGGTAATATACAAAACTGAAAGAATTGCATACATGTTTAATCGTATGTATACAAGGAAAGATTAAAGTGAACTTCTCGTGGTAAATTCCAATCCAAAACGTTCATTTTCGCGAAAAATAGTTGTAATAATAATAATTACGATAAAAAAATTTTGCAAACATTTTTATAAAATATAAATACTTTCACTTTCAAATTT